GAGATGAATAAGAAGAAGAAAGACAAAAATAAAAGGGAGAAGAAGAGAAAGAGGGACGAATCATTACCGATTTGTCCATGGAAGGTAGAGAGAGAGAGGAAGAAGAAGGAAGGAAGAAGAAGTAAAAAGAGAGAGAGAGAACAATCGGACAAAGAAGAGGAAAAAAGAGAAAAAGGATTGAGTTTGATTTGAAAAGAAAAAGAAATAGTTTTATTTGTGTTTTTGGGTTGGGCGAAGCCCAATCCGTGTGTGACCGAGTTGAGCTGATTCCAATCCAATCCGAAAAAAGGAGGGAAAAAAAAGTTGGGTCGGATCGATTCTATACGGATTAAGGATTATTTTCCTTGACTTAGTTAGCATATAAGTAAAAGAAAATAATCCTTAATTTGTATGGTGTAATTAATTTTTTTTTTCAATGTTAAGAGTTCTTGATATATTTTAGCAAAAAAAAAAAAATTACAAAGAACCCTAAAGGAAAGAGATGGGATTTTTATTATTTGTAGGCTATTCACACACTCACAATATTTTTGTTATTTTAATTTTTTTTATGCATTCATTCTCGCATGCATTACCGTTTATCCTCAACTACTAATTTTGAGGTTTTTTTTTTTGGACCTTCTATACGTAAAGTTTTGCTATGTTGTTTTTTGGTCTTTTGTTTTTTAACAATTTTTATTTCGATTCGCAACTTTATTTATATTGTAATCTGGTTACTAATTGCTAAGAGGAGAGAGAAACGAAAAGAGACGAGGGAGGAGAGAAAAATCTATATATGAATTTTTTAATAAATTTTTAGAATATTGCTATCTACTCTTTTTAAAAAATTTAATATAATTTATATGACGAGTTTTTTTATTCTTAAATGATAAGATGTATATCAATTTTTTTATATATAAAATAAGATTAAAAGTATTTTTTAAATAATTTGTCTTGGATTTTTTTTGCAAAAAAAGTTATAAGAGAAGTTTGTAGTTTTTAAGAGTCCATGAATTTTAGAATTTTTATTACAAGTTATTAGTTAAGAATTTGAATACAAAAGAATAAATTGTGTTCTTTTTAGCAAAAAATTTATAAAAAGCATAATAAATATTTTGTTAAACATAGAATATATATAAAAAAAATTTCGTTTTTACCTTCTATTTAATATATTTTAGTAACTAATAATGTAACACATACCGTCAAATTATAATTATTTTTAAGAATAAAATTTTATAAGTTTTGTATGAACACTCAATACAGCGCGGGTAAAGAACTAGCGTATATCTATAAAATCTGACTTTAACTGGCATCCTAGACAGTAACAATCACTGCAACAAATTGGAGTTGAAATCCGCTAATTCTCTTGAAAATGAAAATACATAAATAATTCACTCCAAGAAGGAAAAGAAAAGTAAATATAGCTTTGCAGTAGGATTGTTGCCGCCCCCAATGCTTAATCAATCAAATTCCTTTCATTCGTTAAAAAAGAAGAAGAAGAAGAAGGAAAAGGAAAATCATTTGCTTGTGATTACGACTGAAGTAAACATCGTATCTAGACAGGCCGGGTTAGCTAAGAAAATGCATGCGAGTAGAAACTGCAAGCTGACAGCAAATTAAAATCAGTAGAGTCAAGATCCTAGTGAAGGTTATTTGCATGTCCCGCCAAACATGTTTGCATCAAAGAAGAATTAAAAACAAAAGAAACTTTAAACACGTTGTAGTTTAAATAAGAAAAAACTATATACTTTTTATATATATTATTTGGTTGATTGAATTTGATTGGAATTGTTTAAAGTTGAATCGAAGACAAATTGAAGCTACACATGAGAAATGTGAAATCCTAACTCGATTGTTTGAATTTTTTAAATAAAAATATTTTTAACTCATAAAATATTTGGATTGACTTAATTGTTATTACACTAAAAACTAAAGGAAAACGATTTTTCAGTGTTAATCATTGTTCATTGATATAGTGCTTTGATCTTTTTTAAAAAGTTTTCATTTTTTTTTTTAGCTAGCACCCTCTGCCCCCCCCCCAGTGTTTGTTGTTCATTTGAACAACAAACGGCTTCCCCTCCTTTTTTTTTTGTCTAAACATTGAATTTTTTTAAAAAAATTTCCGTCCATTCTTGTTCACATGAACAAGTAAATGACTCCCCCCCCTTTTTCTAAACATTGATTTTTAAAAAAATTTATTTATTTTTAATAATATTGGGTGTTAAAAATTTAAAAGAACCAACAATTAATTGGGTATTAAAATTTTAAAGAAACCAATATTTATTTCCTTTATTATTTATTTTTAAAATTTAAAAACACAAATAAAAAATAATTAAATACGTAATTTTTTATTAAGAAATTATTATTATTTTTTACTATAAAATATATTATTAAACTGAAATAATTTTTCTAAATGATTTTATATATTTTATCCAATTTGCAACTTAACGCTGGTCAAAAATTACACTATAAACTAAAGAAAAATAGTTTTTCACCGTAACAATGAACATTATTAATCATTGTTCATTGCTATTGTGATTTGTTTTTTTTAATTTTTTTTTTGGCCAACACCCTCCGGCCTACTCCCCTCCTTTTTCCGTTTGCTATTTATTTGAACAAGTAAACAGCTCCCCTCCCCTTTTTTTCTAAACATTTTAAATTTTCGTCCGTTTACTATTCATATGAACAGTAAACGGCTTGCCCCTCTTCTTCTAAACATTGATTTTTTTTTTAAATTTCTGTTTCTTAATAATGTTGGGTGTTAAAATTTTAAAAGAATCAACAATTAATTTGATGTTAAAATTTTAAAGAAACCAAAAATTTATTTCGTTTATTATTTATTTCTAAAATTTAAAAAAAAATAAGAAATAATTAAATACAATATTTTTTATTAAAAAATTATAATTATTTTTTACCATAAAATAAATTATTAAATTGAAATAATTTTTTTAAATAATTTTATATATTTCATTCAATCTGCAGCGTAACGCAGACTAAAAAATTTAGCAATATACTAAGATATAAGGATTATGAAATTTATATTGGAAGTTAAGGACGATTGGAAAAATTACCCAATATACAAGGACATAATGGTTGATTAACTCTGAAATTTACTCTTCGGCGTCGTCGTCATTATTATTTGTCGTAAATCGGATATTGCAGCCCCTAATTAGTGGTTAGGCAATCTGGTGATTAGGATTGATAGCTAGCACAAGGAGGGGAAGGGAACCCCAAATTGTACTCATTAAGTTATTAGTATTTTTTTTTTAATGATAAAATACATTCATCAAGCCTCGAGACAGCTTTTTTTTTTTTTTTTATATAAAAATGAATAACAAACTAGGTTCAGATATTTTTATGATAAAATATACACAATTAATATCATTATTTTTCTAATTTAGGCCATCTACCATATTATTGGCTCCACCGGCCAAATATTAACCAAAAAAAAAAAAAACATAAAAATATTGTATCAGTTACTGTGGATTAACTGTTTTTTTACTATATTTTTTTCTTCGATTGCTTTTCTTTCTTGCACTGTAGCTAAGCCTCTTTTTTTACTCTTAATGAATTTTATTTTTATTTTAATCTCTCTTTTGTAATTTTTTTATTTTGATCATTAAAATTTTATTATATTTGATTTTTGTCCCAATAATAAATTTTTTTTTATTGACTTTTAGTGAAAATTTATGTTTTTTTATGATATATTTTTATTTTAGTCATTAAAGTTTTATCATATTTGATTTTTATCTTTGTTGTACTAAAACTAAATAAAGTTTCACTATCCTAAGTTTTTTTTTTTGTTGCTTTTAGAGAAACTTTTCTTTCCATTATAATTCCTGTTTTGTAATTTTTTTCTTTGTCTTGGCCATTAAATTTAGTAAAATTTTATTTTTGTTTTAGTCCCTATTTTATAATTGTTTTTTATTTTGATCATTAAATTCTTATTATATTTGATTTTTTCCTTACAAGAAACTATTTTTTACTTTTAGTAAAAAATTTTGTTATACTTTGGTTTTTATTTTGTGATCTTTCTTTTATTTTGATCATTAAAGTTTTATTATATTTGATTATTATTCTTTCTACTTTAAATACAGCTTTCCCCATTCTATTTTTTTTTTTTTTGGCTTTTAGAAAATTTTTTTTCTGTTTTGGTTCTTATTTTGTAATTTTTTTTATTTTGATCATTAAAATTCTATAATGTTTTATTTTTGTTCATGCCTTATGCATAATGGATTGTTTTTAGTTTTTTAGTTTTTTTGACTTTTAGTGAAAGTTTTTTTTTTTTTTATCTATTTTGATCATTCTTTTATGATCTTTACTTTGTTTTGATCATTTAATTGTTATCATATGTAATTTTATCTCCATTTTTTTTCTCAAATTCTCGATTTGACAAAACTTTTTTGTCTTTTTGTTTTGAATGGTCTCTCTATCTCATTAACAAAGTACGGATGAAGAACATATAATAAAAATTAATCATCTAAAATTCAAAAACTACCACATCATTATCTTAATTATCGGTTATTATATATATTTCTAATAAAATACATGTTTATATCAAACAATATCTAATTAGCAACATTTTATTATTAAATTTTATAGACTTTTCATTTAGCTAACCTTGCAACAAAATATGAGATATATGGTTGGTTTTTTTTTTTTTTGAATTTTTGTCACGTGATTCTTTTAAATAATTATTTTTATATTTTATATTTTATATGAATGAACACATAAAAATGTTATATAACTCATCTCGCGACAACACATGGGGTATATGCTAGTAGAATCTCAAGCAAAATCTTTGAAAAAAAATATTGTATTTTAAATGTTTTTTAAGCTATATTTTGAAATTTTTAACAAACTCTAATTGTTTAATATTATTATTATTATTATTATTTGTATGAAATTGATTTTTTATATTGCTATTAATTGTTTCGAGCAAAATCCATAAAAAAATATTGAGCAAATCCCCTAAATTGATTGTTTATGTGGGTTTTAAGGGTTTATATTTGTTGTTGAATCAGCTTGGTGGTTCCCTGTCCGATCGAGGAGTTTGGAGACAATTGTGAGACGATTGAGCATTTGGATTTGTCTGAGAATTTTTTGGTTGGAGGGATTCCTAGTAATTTAATGAAATGTGGGAATTTGAGGTTATTATTGTTTTCAAATTTGTTTGAAGAAATTATTCCACGTGAACTCGGTAAGCTTGAGAAGATGGAAGTGTTGGATGTGTCAAGGAACAGTCTTGGTGGGTCAGTACGTCCTGAGCTTAGAAATTGGTATGCATTGTCCATGTTTGTGCATGCGTTCAGTGTCCTTGCTTGTGCTTTCAAAATTATTTGACCTGTATCAGGATGTTAACAGTACGAGAGGGGACAGTTTGTTGGATCATTTGACTTTTGTGAATGAAGATTTCAAAATTGTTTGCTTGTACGCGCTATGCATAGATTTGGTGCCTATTTTACTATGTAAGATATCTGATCTAACAGCACCGTTCTCATGTTGACAAGTCCTTTAAAGGATTTTTTATTTTCCATCTTTTGGTATATATTCTTACATTGCTTGCCTTTTCCTTGTTTGAAGTGGACCTATTGAATGAGTTTGTCAGTGATTCGTATTATGAGCCCCTGAATTTATGACACCTGAGCTATATGACGAGAACTACAATGAGTTAGTTGATATATATCCTTTTGGAACGTGGAGATGGTTGCTTTTGAACATCCTTACCGTAAATGTAGAAACTCAGCTTAGATATATAAGAAAATTTCAATTCCTTTAACTGTAAATCTTGTCTCTTGCCAGTTTTGTCAATTAATCCATCGCTATGTTTTTTGTAGGTTATAAAGCGTGCTGCCCTCTTTAAGGTTAAAGATCCAGACGTAAAACAATTTATTAAAAAATATCTAGTCCCAGCATCTGAAAGACTGTCAGCGAAAGAGCTTCTGATTGACCTTTTTCTTGATGTGAATGGATTTGTTAGGAATTCTTTCTTGCCTCGATCTGATATTGCTGTGCCAAAAATGATAGCTATTGGAGATCATTTGAGCTTCAATAGGTTTAACTGGGAACTTTTTTGAGGAATTCCAACTCATTGCATTACCGTTTTTGATGTTAGTGGAAATGTATTGTCAGGTTCCATCCCTAGTTTTCGTAGCAACAATTTTTTTTCTTAGGCTTAAATTCTTCAAAAGGCATTCTGACCATTATAAAATTTTAATGACAAATTTATAATAATTTAAATGTTTTTCTTAGTTGGAAATTTGCTTCTTTTATCGGAATCAAAATACAAGATATTTTCTGAAATAATGTTTTAATATATAAGGTGTAAATTATACTTTATAAATATAGAGGATGCACACTGTGTTTATGCTCAAACTACAGATTGTTTAAAGTAATTTATCCTTTTTTTATATATAATATTTTACAAAAGAAAATTGAATTTGATACTTTTTTTAAGGGAGGTTGTGGGGATAAACTGAATCTAAGAGCAAACTTAAACAATTATTTTCAAAAGTATAATCTTAATTTTGGTTTTCTCAAAAGTACTGCTACATATCATTACTTTTTATTCATCGATTAAAGTTGGTGGTTTTGCTATTGTCCATCCTTTTTTTTATTATCTCATTTATGATATCCATTAATGTCTAGATTTACAACCTTGAGGTGTTGTTCCTAGCTAAAAACTTTGTTTTTCATACTATTTTTTTAATTCAATCACAAAGGAAGGTTGTGGAAAGTAATTGTCTCGCATACATCAGTAATTTGGATATTAACAAAAATAAATAAATAAATAAAACGTAAAATTCCTATTCATGCAGACATACTTTACTATGAATTGAATATTTACGCAAACACATTTTACTATGAATTAACTGTTCACACATCCACTTTTTTTTATTTTTCTTTTTTCAATTGCAACTCTCTTTTCTCCTTCTCTTTTATTTTTTCACCTCCTTGTATTTTGCTTTTGTCTCACTAAGTGCCTTTGTACTATTACCTTTTTATCCATCTTTGTATCTTCCAGCTATAGCTTTATTTATCCTCTTCAGACATTTCCTTTTCGACAGCATTTAATGCTCTGCACCTTGAATTTTCTTCTGTATTTCTTTGCCATTGTCTATCGTTTTTTCCCATTGTCCGTCATTTTCCCCTCTCATTTCTTTCATCTTTTATTGCCCATGTGCTGCTAGCTTCTGCTTTTTTGGTCCCCCCGCCCAATATCTTCATCCTTCGCTCTTAATTTTTTCACTTCTCAAATAAATTATTCAACTATTTTTTTCACAAATAAGACCTATTTTGAGCTACATGGTAAAACGAATTCCTCATAAAAAATCGCTATATAACAAGACATATTTGATGTCTATCTAAATTTTATTGTTGAATATATTTAATTAATTATCATGTGTTGATCTGTTAATAAATTCAATTAAAGATAATAAAATATTATAAATGGTTAAACTGAACAAGTGAGCTCCACCTCTTATTTTGTTCCAAACAATTTTATTTATTTTGTTCTTTGAATATCATTAAAATTTACTAAATACACGTATACTTACAATTCATACGTTTTTTACCATTAATTTTCAAAACATTTTTTTAAATTTGATTTATCATAATAAGTAATTAAATTATTGATCTACACATAAAACTAATTATAAAAATGTTCTAACACATAAATAAATATTACTTTCGATGAACAAACAAAATTAATTTCATTGCTAAAAAAAGGCATGAAGACCATATTATGAACAAAAAAAAAACATAAAAATTTTAATTCCGATTTTAATCTCCAAATGTGAAAGTTTGTGTGAACAAGTAGATAGCTCCAATGAAGTTTCAACAATTCAATTTCATACTACGTTAATCAACATGTAGGATACTCTTCAACAACTGGTAATTAACATAGTGATCATGCATATTATAATATGATAAGGATTTAGTGCTAAACTCATGACCCATCCTCATGACACATGACATGAGTATTGATATATCTAGAGAAAATAGTAGGACCAAACACGGATGACAAGTCACAAAATAAGACCCACGAAAAAGATGTGTCAAAGAAGATCGAAAATTTCTCTACGATCGGGTATTTTTCAAACAGACTATTTACCCGTTCTTTCTCCTATAACAGAGGAACGAGTATTTTCAATTACCAAGTAGACTTGAAGAGTCTTCATTACGTGAACGCACGTTCTAGTACGCCTTCATGTTACGTCAATGACATCATTGTGGCTATAATCAAATCACTTATAAGTCACATCAAAGGCTATAGGTTCTGAACTAGGCATTAGAGAATGTTGAAATTTAAGGAATAGATAATTCTATACGAGTCTTGTTTATATTAGAACTCTAACCAACAAAGAATCTTAGGTTTCTAATCCTGTCCACTACATATTACTACTCATTATCTTTTTCAAGCACACAAATATACTAAAAGTGTAAACCTTCCTCTCCTCTCTCTGATCTCCAATTTCATCATCAAAGAGTCCCTCAATCTACTAAAAAGACTTATCTTACACGTAGTTTAAATAGGAAAATGCTCGAAAAAATTATGCTTTAACAAGTGGATAACATAGTGATCATGCATATTGTAATATAGTAAGGATTTAGTGCTAAGCTTATGATTCATCCTCATGACACATGACATGAGTATTGATACATCTCGAGAAAATAGTGGGACTAGATATGGATGATAAATCATAAAATAAGACCCACCAAAAGGACATGTCAATGAAGACTGAAAGGCTCTCTACGATTGGGTATTTTTCAAATAGATTATTAACGCGTTCCTTCACCTATAATCGAGAAACGAGCATTTTCAATTACTAAGTGGACTCGAATAGTCTTCAGTAAATAAAGACACATTTTAAAACATCTTCATATCACGCGAATAACAACCACACCATTACAGCTATAATCAAATCACTTATGAGTCACATTAAAGAACATAGGTACCAAACTAGGCATTAGAAAATGTCTGACATTTAAATAATAGATTTTTTTCCCTCTTTCACCATGCAACTTGATATGAGTCTTGCTTGTATAAGAACCTTAACCGACAAGGATCTCAGATTTTTAATCCTACTCTGTCCACTACATATTATTACTCATTATCTCTTTCATACGCACAAATATATTAAAAATATAAACAAACGTCTCCTCTCTCTGATTATTAATTTCATCATTAAAAAGTCCTTCAATCAACTAGAGAGACTCATCTTATAGGTAGTTTAAATAGAAAAAATCTAAAAAAAAAAAATCAATCTCCACTGTAAATCATCAGTCATAAAGAGTCGTGTAACAATTTGTTATTGTTTGAGTTTATAGATCTCATCGAGTATCTCCAACTATTTTTACCAGTAGAAACATAGATATTGTAGTCGATGTACAGATATGATGTACCAGAGAACCTATCATTTTTCAGTAGTGAAAAATATTTTTATGGCACGTGCGGCTGGGCTGGTTCGATCAAAGCCACTAAGTTCATGAAAGGGAACTGACTACTGATCGGGACGGCTAACTGTATTATATGTCCATCGATCGACATAATATACTAGTGGTGGTTGACAAATATTAATGCCTTAAACATAGTACTACTCATTGTTAATTTATGGTGCGCAGAAGCTACCACTGATATGAGGGTGGTATCAGTACAGAAAGTACGTCAATGCAATCTTAATTCTTTTGGTGTCCGAATGTACTGAAAAATTAATTAAGTACGTCAGTGCGTAAAGTTTATTGATCAGTCAGTGATTGCAAGTAAAAAATTTATAGTAACAACAAATTAAAATCGTACGTATCGTGAGTTAGCATTAAACGATATTGAATTCCTATGTATAAGATTGGTGTACGAGAATTGAAAGTTGGGTGTTTCTACTACGACTCGTTGATTAGAGACCTTTTTACTTTTTATTGGAAATGTGATGATGAATGATCGGATCGATGGATACGTACAATTTAACGACAGGTATTGTCTATTACACAGTTTATGTACTATATAAATTGTCTTGATTTAGAGTCTAGCTTTTTTTTTTTTTTTTGTGATGATTAAATCCTTACATATTTTTTTTAATTTTGTTTTTTTTTTTCCTTCTGTTACAACGGCATTAGTTAATGAATTAATGTGATGTATTTGCTTATGAATAGGTGGCAGGTATCACATATATGATCTTAATATCGAGACTCAATCAAAAACCAAGTTATTATTATTTTAATTTTTATATCATTATTTTTTAAGATCTTATCTTAAATTCTGCGAAACCTATTATATGCAAGACGTTATCAAAATAAACTATGAAGAGTATTTTTAAAATTATTATAATAACTTAAAAATAATAAAATTCATATAAAATGAACCAATAATTTAAAATTATATTAATAAAAAAGTATAAATATAAGCTTTTCCTATCTGCTAGCATATCTTTAATCTTTCTTTTGCTTTAATAAATAGTGAATTCTATAATATTTTGAACCAAATTTTGTATCAATTGAAACTAAATTTATTATCTATCAAGTTAAATCAATATCAAAACATACTTGATCTTTAGTCAACTATTTTAAACTAGTTAAAATTACTTCTTAATTATATATCAACAGTCAAAATTTAGATTAGGTTTTGAAAAGTAAAACTTATGAAAGCCCCATCTTTCTAGATAACATACTTTTAGTTCCTTTAAGTTTTCAACATGAATTAAATAGTCTTTATTATTTTAAAACTAATTATTTAATCCCTTAATCAGCGCTTACTATATTTAAAAAAAATTATTGTCTCATCGATCTTTTATATTTTTTTACTTATTTTTTATATTTATTAAAAAATAATTAAGTTATAGATTTAAAAATGTAGAGATTAATTAACTAGTTATTGAAAATATAAGGACTATTTAATTGTTTTGAAAAACTATAAGAACTAATTTATAAGTTACTCTAATTAAATCAACAAATGTAAGTCATTTTCACTTTATAGTATCCACAAAAGAGTGGTACTCCTCTTACTTGTGTTTTTCAATTCGTGAGATGACATTGCACGTCATCATATTTTTGTTTTCATAATTACATGTTAGGTTCGTTTTTTCTTCTATTTTTATATATTATTTTTAACACATTATAACAATTCTTTTTAAAGAAAAACACTTCATAGTTTTACTATAATTGAGTTTTATATATGACACATTTTTTCACGTTTAGGATGAAATCTTAAGAAAACAATAAAATAGAAATTAAAAATAAAATAAAAATAATTTGGTTTCTATACCTTCTAATCGTGTTGATTGAATTTATGTGCTTTTTGAATTATTTTTGTTGAATTTTTTTATTGGGCTCTAATGTATAATACGTTTCATGCATTTAGAAAATATACATATCACTCAACTCATGAAATAAAGGCGTTGCAATGAAGGAATAAAAAAAGTAAAAAAAAAAAAAAAACTCAATGATACTAGGCAAAAACCGTTTAATGATATTGATTGATCAGCTAATGAGATAGCTGGCCACAACAAGTGATCAAGCTGTTGACAGAGAAAAAGGAAAAATGAGGAATTAAGAAGAGCTGAAATTAAGTGTCCACCTAGATAACAATATCCAGCGGTAATAAATAAATAAATAAAAATACCGAGGTCTCAAGAATTTGGTAATTATTACTAGTACTATAATATTAATATAGCATGCGGAATGAAAAAGAAATAAAAAGCAAAAAGGTTTTAAAAAGTATCTATCTAATTTTCCTAACAATGATTAGCTGTACTTTTTCGTTCCATGATAATAATCTACTACGCAAAACGATAAAAATTATAAATTTTTATTAAATTAGATAAAAAAATATTTCATGCTTTTATTTGGAATATTTTTCTCCTCCATAAAATGCATTTTTTTTTATGGTTTAGAAATACCGGACAAACAATACATTATTGGATGGAGAGAAAATACTTTTTTATTATTAGAATAACTTTCTTACATTGTTGGTCCTACATTGAAGGACAAACTCTTTAACATGTTTGAAAAACAGGTTAAACAGACTATTGTATAGGGTCAAATACTAGTAACTTCTAGTATAATCTTGTAGTTCCATCAATTATAAATATTTTCAGTTTTTGTTTTCTCTTTCTTAAAAATTGTTTTCAATATTTTCACCGATCTTGATAATTAAGTTTTTTTCTTCTTCTTTTTATGTCCCCAATTGTTAGTTCTTTGACAATTATTATTTATTTTTTATATGTTAAAAACAACTTTCAGAATTTTAAAAATAAAAAACTAAAAACAACAATGATGCAAATTATAAATAGGCCCTGTTAAATAAGGTTGAAGATAAACACCAAGATAGGTGGTGTTGCAATTAATTAATATTTGACCATATCATTTTAGGTTTAAATTCAAGGAAAAAAGAGGACTTTTGGGAGGGCTTCTTCCCTTAACGTATAGCTAAAGCCTCACGTTCTATATATTAGTCCGACAAAAAAGAAAAAAACACTTTGATTTTCCAATTTATATGTCTCAATTACTTTGTTTAAATCTCTAGAATATTTTATGTCTGCAAATCTAGACTAATTCATAGTTATTCGTTTAATCAAACGTATAAAATAAATATAATTATTTTTTAAAAAATTATATAAATAATAATTCGAATTTAAAACTATTTATTTAAACGATTAAAAATTTCTCCGTTCAAATTAACCTTCTTGGTTATGTCTTGATTATTTTCATCCTCTAATTTCTATACTCCTTTTTTCTGGTTCAATTAGTGTCTATATTTGCAATTTCAAACGGAAGTGTAAAAATTGTTTAGTGTCGGCACATCCGTCAACCTTAAGAAGCCAACAGACACGACGAAAGTAAATGATCTTGTAAATCAACGGGTGGGGGCGAGGGCTCGGGACTCCCTCCGGGGCAAAGGTGTTCCCATGAAGTTCGTTGAAGATTAAGGACCACTCTCCCGCTGTCGACACACCGGTGGCGATTGACAAAAACTTTTACAGTTGGCAGTAGGGCGGACCCAAATACTTTGCTACAGGGGCGTGGCCCCCTCCCTACTCCAATTTTTTTTTTCTCATGGAATATCCCATACAATACTAGTGTACCATTATTTATTTATTTATTTTATAACAATTTTATTTTTAATATGGCACCATTCTAATTCACGCTTTAATTAATTTTTTTGAATACTTCAATTGAAATTTTAATTAACTTATAGATAAATGAGTATATTTTTACATAAAATAATTAATTTGAAGACTTAAATAAGTGTAAAAATATATTTATTTCTACAAAAAATATTCTCTGGGCACAAAAAAATTCACCTAAGTTCATAAAATATTACTACACTTCTTAAATGATATTTTTATACCTATTAGATAATTTTTAAATATATTTAAAATACTCAAAATAATTAATTTATATCAAAAAAACATTATTCATGCATTAAAAATATTCACTTAACATAAAAAAATTCATTTAATGGCACAAAATATATTAATTTGCGCATCGTTGAAGATTAAGGACCACTCTCCTACTGTCGACATACCGGGGGCGGCTGAAAAAAACTTCTACAGTTCACATACATTAATTTATTGTACGTCGGCCGTTCAGATTTGATCATTGTTTAACGTATCACGGCTGGAGCAATCGTTGCGGTACGACCAGCAGAGGGGTTTTGTATAACGGTGATGATAATATCGCATGTAAAGTTTGACAACTCAGATACATAGAAATATGCATAATTTAAATAATATAATCAATATATAAAAGTTGGTGTTGTATAATTAATAGTTTTTTTTTATTCCACCCTAGAGTATTTTCGATTCTGCTCGAACATCAAACAGATAATAAATGTTTTTCACACATCTTCACATGTTACGTTCAAAAAGTTTATTGTCTCTGTCCCAAATAATTTTTTTCCTTTTCTATTTATATTTGTTTCAAAATGATTGAATTATCAAAAATTTTAAATATTATATATACATATAATACTGCTCATCAATTTATTTTTCCATTTTTTATTTTTTACTAACTAAAAAATCAATATTCTTTATATTTTTTTACACATACAAATATTTTTAACATTTAAAAATTCAAAAGAAAATTTTTATTACATGAAAATTTAGAATTTTTTAATGATTTTAAAAGGACTTAATGATCTCTAATTTTGAAACTCAAATTTGACAAGATAAAAAAAATATTTTAGAAAAAATAAAGAAAAAAATTTGATAGATTGTAACAATTAATGTCTTTCTTAAATTATGTGAAAAGTAAAAAAGAGAGATTTTATAATACAAGGGATGAATAATAGTATGTACGATAGTTACTTCATAAATCCATTTGAAGAGAGAGATGAACAAAAAAAAAAAAAGAGAAAACTAAAAAAAATCAAGCGAACCTTTATCACTTTTGATGGGTTCGGATGTAATTCTCTTTTTGTTTTATGTATATCTCTCTTTAAAATAGGTTGATAAAGTAATTATCTATACGTATCATTAGTTATTTTTTAAGTATTATAAAATTTATAGTTAAAAAGAAATATTTTGGGACATGAGTACTAATAAATTACCCAGTGTTTACGTAACTAACAGTAACAGTGGAAACCATTAGTTGTGATACATGATATGAATGAAGAAATTGATAGTTAGTATTTAAAAAAAAAAACCGAGTTTAAAGTATAAGAGCGGAGCATTACGCGCTCTTGCGGCTGCTGCAACATAACGGCTTTGGTCGAAAACGTCGGTTGGGACCATAATGCTTGTAAAGTGCTAAAATCTCGTTCAGACTTGTAGGTTGAATTAGGGGTCGCAAACAAAACCGTACAGGTCAGGAATTAGTACGAAGTTATTTTTTTTCCTCGTGTTTTGGAATGCTGTAGGATGGTTGGAAACTAAGGTGGTCCCGGTACTCACTGATTGGAGTTCCTTTTTGCGCTTGCTTTCATTGGAAATGCGATGATGGAACGATCAGACGGCTACAATTGAACGAATGAATATGATTGATCACCTAAGGTCAAAAAAACGAAAGAATTGAGAAGAGCTCAAAATGTTCATCCCAATGTCCTTCGATAATTACTAACTAGCTAGCAAAATGAAATTTGAAGAACGCCCTAGTTAGCCGTGATTTTGGGATCAATAACAGGAAAATAAAAATAAAATATGTTCTCAAAGTGTCTATCTAAACGTCCTCTAGTAAATATTAATGTTTGACCCGCAAGCTGTTACCAATTCGATTTATAATTATGTATGTTTATTTAAATTTTGAGTTGTTTTTGTTTGATATTTAAAATATTATTTTTAAGATATTGTTTAATTTAATTTATGTTTTGTATGGATGGACAAATAATTTAGTCTAAATCCTTCATTTCAAGTTTAAAATCATTTTTATAACCAAAATACTAAAATTATCATTTATTAATATTGCAAACATATATATATATATATATATATATATATATATTTGTTTAATATAAACATTATTTCTCTTAGGAAAAAAAATCTAGAATAGCAATTTCTTATATTTCTCTTAAAACTGACAAAGAAAATGATGATAACAAAACAAGCATTCTCAAAGCTTTAATTTATATTTTATAAAGAGTCTACCTACCACAACACAATTATTTATTTAAAATATTTAATATATTCATAAATGGTTCTCTCTCTTTGTGTATGATTGTCGAAAACCAAAGCTCAAACTGCAGTTGAAACATACGGTTTAACATTCAATCTGCAGTCAAATAGACATGTCTTTTACATGAAATCCAAACGTCAATATATAATTTAACCAAAAAAATCAAGATTTTAATTTCTTTTCATAATCGTCACTCAGGATTCAATCTTTCTTCTACATAAACGTATTACAATTCAAACCAATTAAATTCAACAATTTAATGGCTAAGGTTATATAAAACTGGACTGTCAGTCTGCCAAGTTCAAGTTCAAATTTTCCATCCAAAAAATCAAACAAAAAATTCAATCTAGAGTCTATGTAAGTGTTTCGCATTGTTATCATGGATCACATGGTTGCCAATATTGCCACACTTACGTATAATCCGGTTTAACTTTATTCAATATATGCAATAGGTGGAGGAAAAATTCAAGAAATTTGGGGAGATTATTTTAGTTAAATATTTGTAATAGACAAATGAAAAATTTAGAAACTGAGAAGAATCACTTCATTGAGTAGTACAAAGTATCGTGGGCCTTCTACTCATTTTAATACGAAGGTCCACAATCCGTATTCTTTTTCAGCCTCAAGTCAGATACAAGGGTGAAATTTATTGGTGCAATAAAACCCATCTGAGCTTTTTTTTTTTAAAAAAAGAAAAAAGCTGAAAGGCCCAAGATGCACTTAATTGCCACTATCAGCCCAGCCCCAGCCATTAGCCCCACAACATTCTAACATGCATCGATAATTTCTTTGCTTGCAATGGAAGAAGAATAGCAAGCAAGCAAAAGCCACCAAAACTCTGAAAAATCTCTCTCTCCTAATAAGTTGGACACTCACTTTCTATTCCTTTCATTCCAACAAAGCAAACTCCTACCCCTTCTTTAAATATGCACTCCAATTCTTTACCAAAACCACCAAGAAAAATCCATCAACTCTCACAAGCTCTTCAAAAGTACACGTACAGGCATGGCCAAAATGGAGGCGAAATTGTGTGTTCTCGTGACGATGGCATTGTTAGTAATGTTAGTGGTGGTAGTTAATGGAGATGAAGCATCTCCTGTAAAGACGGTAGTGAAGATAGTGAAGGGAAAGAAGGTGTGTGGCAAGGGATGGGAGTGCAAAGGCCTGTCTGCTTATTGCTGCAACCAAACCATTTCTGATTATTTCCAGACCTACCAGTTCGAAAACTTGTTTTCGAAACGTAACACTCCTGTGGCTCATGCTTCGGGATTTTGGGATTACCATTCTTTTATTACTGCAGCTGCAGAATACCAGCCTCACGGATTTGGTACCACTGGAGGAAAACTTGCGGGGCAGAAGGAAGTTGCTGCTTTCCTTGGGCATGTTGGCAGCAAAACCTCATGTCAGTAAGAGAAAAATCAATACTACGTTCAACTTTGAAATTTGGGATTTTCTATATAAATAGATAGATAGATCGATAGATAGATAGATTTAGTGATCCTTTTCCTCTAATTATAAAATGTAACTATGCTCGAATGTGACTATTAATGATGATGATTGTTTCAGGTGGTTATGGGGTGGCCACTGGAGGACCGTTGGCCTGGGGTTTGTGCTACAACAAGGAAATGAGTCCCAGCAAGATATACTGTGATGATTACTACAAGTACACATATCCTTGCACTCCTGGAGTTTCATATCATGGCAGGGGTGCCCTGCCTATTTACTGGTATGCATCTTCTTATCTTTGACAATCTATACACCGCAAACCCCCCATGCCACATCTATTTATATTTTTTTCTCCTCGAATCCACTTAATTGCTAAATACAAATAGTAAGAAAGCAATATTCGGAAATTCTAAAATCTTCATGATGCTTTCTCTGAAATGAATTGTTAAAATTAAACCAGTCGATAACATTAACCATCGTGTATGTACAATATCACTTACATGAAACCATTAAAAGACGCAGTATATTTAAAGTAAATTCTCTGGTAAGTAGTGTTTCCAAAGCATAGTAGGTGTCACCTACCTACCTTGAAGCGGAAAGTTTGCATAATCAATCTTTGAGTGTACAAAAAGTAATCTTCAGATTTTAGATCCTAGTAGCGTATTTCTACCTGTCAGTGTCTAATTAACCACAATCTGAAGCATTACTTAAATTCCCGTATCTGGTGCTTCCATTTACAGGAACTACAATTATGGAAAAACTGGGGAAGCCCTGAAGATTGATTTGTTGAACCATCCAGAATTCATTGAAAACAATGCTACACTAGCTTTCCAGGCTGCTATTTGGAAGTGGATGACACCAGAAAAGAAGCATCTCCCTTCAGCGCACGATGTATTTGTTGGCAACTGGAAGCCTACCAAGAATGACACTTCGTCTAAGAGAGTACCTGGATTTGGCACCACCATGAATGTTCTGTATGGGGATCAAGTTTGCGGCAAAGGCGATGATGAGTCAATGAACAACATTGTCTCTCATTACCTATATTATCTAGACCTGATGGGTGTTAGCAGAGAGGAAGCTGGGCCGAATGAAGTGCTTAGCTGTGCTGAACAGGTTCCTTTCACCCAAGCCTCTGCCTCTGCATCATCTTCTTGAACTTCATTGAAGTAGTCTGTCCATTGTTGAACAGTCCTTCCACAGTTCTATATATGAAGGGAAGTCTCTAATAAGGGACAGACAGATACGTTCCTGAGAATGTAACAAATACTGAGGGGAAGAAATTAAGAAATTACTCAACTTTTATTTTTGTGTGAAAATATATAATATCATGGACAATTATGTAGAGAGTGTATATTGAGCCACTTCTTTGTAAATTTTTTTTGAATCCATCAACTATTTTATGTTTTTGAATTGCATACATCATCTGTGTTTATGGTTATCTAATATCTATGGGATATGGCTCTTTGATTTTTATGGTAGATAATTGGGTTGATATTCTCAATAATTTGATATGTATTTTAGTACTGTCCTTGATTTTAAATTTCTATGGGTCTTTTTTTCGTATAACTGCAGATTACCAATAATCTCTTGCTTCATGTTTATAATTAATTTTCAACTAATTATATTTTCAATTTAAAGTTTATCATAATTCTTCACGTCTCTAAAAAAGTATGATTTTATTTTATTTTTTAATATTAAAAATCATGAAGAAATAAAATATTTTGTAAGTGGATCTGTAGATTCTTGCTAGTTGCTGTGTTTAAAATCCTAGTCAACGCCGCACATAATTGATATAATATTTCTCTTAAATAATTTGTGTATTTTTTATTTATAATTTACATATCATATTAATTTAAGTGGCAAGTGTGTTATTTTGGAAAAAAAAATAATTCTTGTTTAGGAAAAACCTCCCCTACAATAGTAAATTCTATCCGATCTAGCGAGGTGATAATCTTTGTATTATGATTGTTGATGAGGTGGTTTTCAATCCTAGGTTGATCGTGTAATGGTTCCATCTCAGTGGATGTTGATTCGATGACAAGTACCTACAAAACAAGTCCTTCTCTATTAGTTAAAGTAGTCTCCAATCACTAAATTAACTTACGAAGAAAAGTGTTTAACCTAAATAAACTTTCAATAGATCAATTATTGTGTATAGGTGATAGTTAACAATACATCTATTTTGATATTAGAAAGCAAAACCCATAACTTTTGGCTTATCAATCTTTATACGGGAGAAGAACCGATCAACTTACATGGGGTGGAGGATAGAGTGGTCTCTTTTCATGTGCTCAACAGTTCCTAACATCTACTTTGAAGGTGTAGGATCCTTAAAGCTATCGTGGTTATTTGATGATGTGTATATAGTTGTAATCGGTGATGATGCGACGGAGACATCTTAGAAAGCCATGTCTTTATTAAATAGATGTTTTTTTTTTTGCCTACCAAATGGGTAGAAAGACATTTTTTTTACTCAAGTAATATGAATGTGCTAATTTTACATGTTTTACCTTGTTATGATAGCCATTGGCTACTGGTCGGGATTACTCTATTCATGGTGAATTCTTGAGTGGTCTTTAAGTGGAGTATGGTGAGACATTTCATGATTACGATTATGTAGGTATATTAGTAGTCTTCTTAAATCTTTAGCAAGTATGCTAGGCAAAGATCCAATTTACATCCGAGCTTCGTGAGAAGATACTTGACAATGCTCAAGATAATAGCAAATTTTTACATTGTTTTTTTAGATTTGACCTTTATGGGCATATGTAAGGCTCCTTAATGCTTGTAACTTCAATAATTGTGTAGGCACATGAAAAAACTAAACACGCATATGTGAGAGCTTTTGAGAGAATCAAAGAGATTGGACCTTTTGGAGTCTCTCACGTTTATCAAATGACGTCCATCTCAATCGCTCTATGGGATTGATGTCGATTTGTGATTGGCCTTTTTGGATTGAGCCTATATATTAGATTTAGGCTCTCAAGTATTCAATGTAAAAGTTTCATGTTTTTTTTTTGTTTATAAATAGACGATTGTCTCATTATCTCGCTCACTTTTACTTGTTTTTTGTTTTTACTATAGTGCGACCTTCAAAGAGTTAGTGGAGATTACTAATGGGTTGGTAGTTACCTAGAGATTCAAAAAGACTATTGCTATGAAAATATTTCTAGACAAATTCTTCTTTACAAACATGAGAAATCTTAGTGGACTAACACTTTTAAAGGATAATATGGTCTCGTTGAGGAGTTTTTGTTTTTTAGCTAGTCATTAGAGCTCTAATAGATATATTTTTTCTTTGTTCCTTTGTTTTAGTGTTTCGTTAAGAGAATGGTAGATTTGGAAAGGATGAAGATGTGTCTAAGGTTATTCATAGTAGTGAATGAGTAAATCCTAATATGGGTATGATGGTTTCTTATGAGTATGTAAGGGTTTGTTTTATCCTTTATGAAAGGAAAACCTAATGACGTTTTTAAGAAAAGTGTAGCTACTTTTTATCATCACTTGAGATGAAATTACCTTATGGTCATCCCTAATCGAAGTGATAGAATGAGGAGGCTGCAACTAGAGCCTTGGATGAAAACATAAAGATGATTATTTTCACTTGTATGATAGTTTATAACTATCAATTTTTTATATTCGAGTTTGTGGTTGAGATTTTTTAGTATTTTGGTATAAGTGTTAGTCAAATTCATCTAAATATATAGACCATTCTTGCAGCTTCTTGAAGAGTTTTATTCGGGGTTACCCTATCTTTTAGGATTTTCTTTATTATCATTTTTTAGCAAAGAGTACTATAAAATGGAGTGAAATGCTTTGTATGTATACTTTCTAGTTATAAAGATAGGTCTATTAAAAAGGTGTTTGTAGGGACTATTTATTTGGCTGATAAATAGAGAGTGAAGTTGTTTATTTTTAGGTATAGAGAGTTTGTGCCCACGTGTAGAGGTTGGTCAATCTAAAGATGCATCCTTATTTGAAGAAGGCCTAAAAAAGCTTGCAATGCCATCCTAGCCTGACCTAGAACTAACTTGGTTTTTTGGATTGAATGAAAAGTATAGGTGGCAAGTATTAAGGCAATCTTTTTGTGATGAGGTTGTCATTAACCCATAGTTTGTAAGATAGATGTGCTAACCTTAGGTATTTTTTCTATCTTACTTTGGAAAATTTCAATTGCTAATACACTTTTTACTTTTTTCAATTGGTTAGGTGATTGAAGAAAAGTCTAAACCAAGTGAATTCAAGATGGACGTTGGGGAATCTAATAGAAAGATGATCTTAGATAGGAACATTGGTAATTTTAGGTATTCTCTTTCTCATTCGAGGCCCATGACGAGTGAGGAGGATAATCTTAGTGGGGCCTAGGTCTATATGAAGAAAAGAAAGAGAATTAATTTCTTTTATCTTAGATTGGGCACTTCATAAGTGTAAAGCTCTAGGCTTTACCCATCTTTGAAACTATGGCCTAAACTAATTTACCCTTTGTAGAGGTGGTTTCTACTTCCTCAACAGCCTATCCAATAACTTGACTTATGTGGTTCCTCTCTATCTAAAACAAGAATTATTTAGTCTTGATGCTTTTAGGTAATGAGGGTGTTATGAATTCCTCTACTCGCTACAAGTCCTTTTAGTGTTACAATCCAAGGTTTGCTTCGCTCCTTTGCTAGAGGAGTTTTTCCCGAATAAATTTTTTTTGGAGATAACTTTACTTCTTACGTTAAGAAAGAAGAAAAGGTTGTCTATTTACTTGGATAGGTTTCCTACTTCTTGGAGAGATGTTAAATTTTGAGGATTGTTCTTTGGCTAACAACATAAAGAAAGTAATGAAACTAACTTTGGTTATAAGTATTTTCTCCTTTTTTTTTTTGTTTTGAATTTTATCCTAATAGTGTTGACTTGGTGATGCCCGTAAGCCTTCCAAGCACAAAGGTATAGACTTCGTACATGAAAGGTCAAGCGGAAGAAGACTCTTATTACCGTTGACTCGATTCATAGATATAGGATTGCTATCTAGGCAATAGACAAAAAGATGTTTGTTATGATTTGATGCAATATCAAAAGAAATCAATACAAAAAAAATAATATCATAAATTTTTTTGCTTCAAAATGCCACATGATCCATATGAAAATAGCAAAGTCGGAGGATTAGATCATTACCTCTTGTAGTATAAATCATGTTTATTGTGTGAAGGATGCCCGAATCACGAGCATAAATCATATTCTAAAATCACAAACATCCCGATCACCGAATGATTTTGGAATAGAGAGTCACCTCTTTTCGAAGTGCTAGCTACAAGTTGATGTTCAAAGGATAGATCACTTTTCCTCTCAAGGTCGTTAGGGTTTCCTCTCAAGGTTACTAGGGTTTTTGTCTCACATAATATTTTGATCAAAACAAATATTACATGCTGGTTGTATTTTATAACAACTAGAATGTGTATGAGTCTTAGTCCTACTAGGAAACTAATTTTCTAACCATGAGGAGAGAAAAAAACATGGGTTGATTATTTTAACAAATTAATATTTAACGACCTTGGACTTAGACTTTGTTAAGACCATTATGTATGTCTTAATCGAACCAGACCTATTGGTCTAATTAAATACCAAAATCTAAAAAGTATTCTAGTCTTACTTGGAATATTAACCTACCTAGGAATTCTAATCCAACTAGGACTTCGGTTATGCTTAAATTTTGAGTCACTCTTTGTGTGTGACCGTATAGGTTCTTATTATATTGGTAGTTACCTTAAAATCATAATTTAGAATCACGGATAATGAGCAAGCATATAGTAATGTCTCATTACTATCTAAGTAATAAGAATGTTGAGTGATTTGACATAATCTTGTCCGTGACATATGTTACCATGTAGTCTAGTCCCTTTATCTTAAATGTCCAGATCAAACATGAGGCATGAAATGTGTCATCCTTATATAATTTAATCTTAGTGTTTCTTGATCCTTGAGTAAATTGTTCTAAATAAATGAGATTGACATCTCATATTGACTTATTTGAGCATGGTCATGTATTTACAATCTCACTTAATCAAAGGGCTCATAGACATCACTCTCGTTATATAGGAGAGACAAATCCTATCTACATCACTTATATCCCTCTCGTATGACTCATGATATATCCAAGTAACTAATTTTATAATCCATCCTATTATAGATGACATTTGATGGTGTCAAAATATATGGTTTTCTATGTAGAGAATCATAGTGACTTCAAGTCAAAAGACCACGTACACCATTATCATAATAAGACTAACTTATGATACTCATATAACGATTCACGTAGTGATCTCATGGTCGGTCAATCCAAGTACATGTTCTTTAACATGTACCCATGTCTTAACTTGATATCTCACATCCATAACACATTTTTATCGATCAATACAAATACCAGTCTCAACACTTTATTGTTGCCCTTTTAATATATCCATAATAAAAAACTTGATTGTGGACATTTAATAATAATAATAATATTCTCATAACTTTATCATGTTCATTTAATAAAACACAAGAATAAATAAACATAATTAGGGCATACACTAACAATATTATCCCTTTGTATAGAGATGAAGAGCATATGTGAATGACTTTTTGGCCAAGGCCTTTGCTAATATAGGGTCGTTGTGTCCCAAAGCCTAGTAATGATGAGAAATTTAGAAAAGATGAAAAAAGCCGGTGCCCCTAAGATGGAGGAAATGAGAGCCAAACTAGGGATTATGTCCTAAGAGAGGAACATCTTTTTGGATAGGGAAACCTTTTTGGAGGGTAGATTAGAAACCACCTTGGGGATTTTGAGAGAAATTTAGGAGAACTCTTGAGCTTATGAGCCGAACAACTTTTTGAATCACTAAAGGATGTTTATTTTTTTAACATGGTAAAAAATATAGACATTGATCTCTTTAAGTTTTTTTTATGGCAAGCCAGCTTCTAATTTTGAGGAGCAATACCCCATTGAAGGGGCAATTGCTAAGAAAGAAAGATATGTCGTCATCAATCATTCTCTCGGCAATCCTTTCTTTTTTAGGTGTATAGTGACTTAAGAGTTAGACTCACTTTCTCGCTCCTACTTGGGGTAGAGCATTTGGAGTTGAAATTATTTCTTTTATGCATTCATGTACATACACATCTTTTATGCAAAAATATTTGCCATGAAAGTGTATCAGTATGCTTGAGGGATTTGGATTGGGAACTAGCCTTCTTTTTTCATATCTTCGAGTCTTTCATATCTTTTTTTAATCCTCTTTTTATTTCATATCATGTCGGGTTCTATCTTTCTTTATGATGGAGAAAGAGCACCTCTAAGAGGTCATTTTCTTCTCTTGATTGTAGTTGTTTTTTATGGATATAGGGAGTTTCAAAAATAAGTAGTAAGTGTTGACAATAATATTTATTTTGTAGAGAATAGGTCTTCTAATTATGGTATTGTACTCCAAACTCATATATGTAACCATAAACTCAAGGTGTATCTTTAAACCTCGAGGAGAGACGTCTCGGTAATTAGAATTTGGATTGCTCCCTCCATTAAAGCTTGTCCTTCTTTTATCCCTCTAAAGGAGTTTCTATTGGTTGAAATTTTAAGGATTTATCTTTATCAAGTCAAAAAACCTATTTTGATAAAATGTTGATGGTGTTGTTAAAATCTATGAAAATGCAATGGACTTTATGATTGAATATCATCGTTGAAATTAATAGGATACGATTCCATCACCTTCACTCAAGAGTGAAGTTGATCATACCAAGGCATAGGTCTTGTGAGACGACAAGGACCGAGAGAGCCTTTTTTTTGTTCCTCTCTTTATGGGTAGCCCTCCTAGAATCAAGTTAATCTGGGATAATATTCTTAATAAGGGTCTTATATGACATTAGCTCGTTAAGTTTTGGCCTTTGTGTTTTGATGAATTGTTTGAGATATCCCTTAATGATTAAGTTTTCTATTTTTATTTTCAAGAAATAACAATTTTAGTGTTGTAGGCCATGTCTTGGTGATAGAGGCAATACTTTTTCTAATTACGAAGGTGTGGAGGGCTCTTTATTAGAGCTGGACGGTTAATATATTTTTCTCCTTGCATGTAAGAGAAATGAAGTAAAGAATAAGCATTTTAGTTATGGATTTGATTCAAACCTCAAGAAGTACGGTAAAATTTTAATCATAAAACAGTTGTCAATAAATAAATAAGAGGTATTTTAGTTTTTTTTTTTATATAAAATGAGATTGGTTATGATCTAAAAATTTTCTAAGAATATGGGGCATCGGTTATCTTCTATTTGCTATTATTTCATAAAAAATGGTTAGATGTAGGAGACACCAAAAATAGTTAATGTGACTATTTTTATTATGCAAGTGTTTAAAGGAGAGTGTTAAAGAGAGTGTTGTTAGCATTCTTCAAATGGATCATGTTATGTAACAACAATAGGGTTTAGAACGTCTTAATAGATAGATGTCCTCGTTACATTATAAGTCGAGCACAATAAGTAAAATCATTGTAAAAAAAAAACATTATGATTCAATGGTTTTCATCTCGTTATAGATTTATAAAGGAAAAAAATTATTCACTTAAATTTATGACGTTTTAATCAAAATTTTCTATTTAATTAATTCTTTCTTATGCTTTTTAAAAGTCTTCCTTCTTAAAATAAAATGATTTTTTTTTGTCATGCATGGATTTTTAAATAAAAATGACAACAATCCAAAACGAAAGTTCCAATTTATTAAAGATCCTAAAAAAAATGCATAAAATTAATTATTGTTTTTATAAGATTGTGTCGAGCAAATAAAGCAAGAATTAATTTTTTAAAAATTACATAAAAATTTTAAGATTTAAAATATTTGTGTGTGTGCGCGCGCACGGCACACCCGTGTATAGATATATACGTGTGTGTGTGTGTGTGTCCGTATTATCAAAATAATAAATAATACAAGCACAAAAAACTCCATTTAAAAAATATGGTATAACGGGGTGTTGTTTTTAAAATATAATTTTTATTATTTTATTTGAGGAGAACTAATTTCAAAATATTCATTTTTTAAAAGTAAGTATTAGGTTTTTTTTTTGTATATATACGGTTAATTTGTAATTTAAAAAAATTATAAAATTAATTTTAATATTTAATTATTTATAAATAATATAATAGTAATTTTATTATACTTTTATTGCTTAAACATTTTGGTCAAGTGAATTGCACATAGTGCAAATAAAAGAAAACACACAAAATTAATATAGTCACATATAAATTTGACTGCTATTTAATGGAGAAAAAAAAATCTTTTCAAAAAAAAAAAAAATCCAATTATTAGATAAGCAATTTTTCAAAAGGAAAGCATACAAGTTTCTCCACTTTACAACTTTGGGCACCAAAATCCAACCATTATATTATATTTGTAAAATCATTTTGCAGAGATTTTTAACAAGCCAACAATTACACTAACTGTTTTAGCTTTGTGTAGTCATTTTTGAAATTTATTATTATTTATAAACATGACCTATTCTTGCTATCTTTGAGACCACGAAAATGGTACATCTAGTTTTTTATATCCAATATATTTTTCTAATGCATTTTTTTTTATATGAGCAACCGGTATGATATTTATGATTACAAAAATCACTTTAAAAAAATGATGAAAGAGATCATTGAACAGCAAAGTAAATTATAAATTAGTCCATCTCATTTCAAAAAATAAATTAATTAGTCATTTTAATTTCAAAAATTAATTATTTTATTTTTTTAACTGGTGTTGACCATAATTAGTTTTATAGAATTTTGTCTTTTCATATTTTTATTTAATTTTTTATTTCTTAAAAAAATCAAAATAAATTAAAAAATAGCAAAAAGGAAAAACTAAAGTTTTTGAACTAGAGGAACTATTAATTCATTTTTTTGAAAATAGAGGGACTAATTTATAATTTACCCTTGAATAGCAATGGCTCATTTAGGAAAATAAGAAGGAAAAAAAAAAAGACAGGGGTATTACATGCTTTGTCTTAAAAGAAAAGAAAATGATGAAAAAAGTCTTAAGAAGAAATTTTTTTAAAAAAATAATTAAGGATGAATATGAAATTTATCAAATCCATTAAACTCGTAAAAGAGAAATTAGAGGATGAAAATCAAGCAATCACCTATGTATATGAAACAAAAAATAAATTAAAAGGCAATAACATGACATATCCAATGGTTTAAAAGGACATAAGTTGCAATAATCTCAAATGGCTTCATTTTACAAGAATGTAGTGTTCAACATTCTATTGTAGGAGTCCGCTTGCATTTAGAGAGCGATGTTGATCTTACGAGTAAGCTAGCTTTCTTTTCCTATTCTTTCCCCGTCCCCTTGTTTCTCTTTCTATCTTGTTTGAAGCTAGTGTAAGAAGAAGTGGGCTTGAATCACAATGAATAGTTATTTTGAATTTATAACAATAATAAATAAATATTATTTGAACGGTAGATACATAAGTTTTTTTAGTTTTTTAGCACCCAATTTTTTTCCAAAAAAAGGGATAAATAAAAAATAAAAAAATGAAAAGGGAGTAAAAAAATACAATTGGGGATCCAATTAAAAGTGAGAGAAGAAAAGAATCAAAATAAAGTGGGTTTGCAAAATGAATGATCAAATCAAAATTTAGCCAAAAAACCCTAAATGACCATTATAAAAACACCATCTTTCCCCAAAATTGGTAGCTACTATTCATCATCTTCAAAAACTTACTCTAGCCGTTAGCCTCCACACACCAACCCCTTAAACACGCCCGACCCCTTGCTCCAGCCCTTACCCTCGCCCAAGCCCTCTATCCATACATGCCGGGCCACCTACACCTATTGCACGCCTTAGCCGGGTGCCCCGAGCATACAGCGGCACCTCAACCGGACGCCCTAGCGTGTGGTAGCTCGCGCACTTACATGCCTCGCCCGCTGCACACTTACAAGCACAAGCACTCCACGCCGGTAAAACTCGCCCACTCCGGGCTCTTCTAGCACGTCGTAGCTCGCCTCCTTTCATACGCGACAACGCGCCTCTCTCATGCGCAACCAACGGCTCCCACATGTATGCCTCAACCAAGCGCCCCAATACATAGTAGCGCCTCGCCCGGCACTCCGTGCATGCCTCCTCTAGTCGGCTTATCCATGTCGGGTGCACCGCATCCGCCATTGATGTCGATCGGCAATCGGTCCGGATCCGACTCGTGCATGCGTTCAATAGCCATCTTTCCTCCCCGATTGACTAAGTATCGGTCTCCATTGGGGTTGAAATGGTCGGATCCGACCTCGGGATCATCGGATAAATCCATCCGACTTGTTTTGTTTACAATAATCTATTTTTAACTTTTCACTTTATTTTATTTTATTTTTATATGTATTAAAAGTGATTCATATCGGTACATGTAATTAATTAAATGATTGTATTGTACAATTAACTTAATTCACGTGTGACGTATCCGAATTGTGTTGGTGTCCGTTTAAATTAAGTTGACTTACGCATGTGTTCAATAGCCACCTTTCCTCTCCGGTTGACTAAGTATCAATCTCCATTAGGGTTGAAATGATCGAATACGACCTTGGGATCATCAAATAAATCATCTAGCTTGTTTTGTTTATAGTAATCTATTTTTAACTTTTAACTTTATTTCATTTTATTCTTATATGTATTAAATGTGATTCGTATCGGTATGTGCCTTTAATTAATTAAATGATTTTATTGTACAATTAACTTAATTCACATGTGATGTATCTAAATTGTGTTGGTGCGTGTTTAAATTAAGTTATTGTGTTTGCGATTGGGTGGATGATGTGTTGGTCCGGATATATTTGGTTCTTACTCGTTACTCAATATATATATATATTTTTAAAAAAATGTGTCGGTCTAAGTAGTATGTTGAGATCATTTATCGATATTAATGTTAAATAATTGCGTGAAAGTTTTGTAAAAATACAATGTCAAATCAAGCAAATTTGGACTTTGTCGTGTGAATCTGTTTTTGTCAATCACAATATTATGTATGTTGTGACAACTAACTTCGTCGATTTTAGTCCACTTGCCAATTTTCGTCGATTTAGCCTAATTATTGTTTTTTTGGCTTAAATTGTCGATTTTTGCCTATGTTCACCTAAATTGTTGATTTTGCCGATTTCTTACCTAAATTGCTGATTTTCTCCTTATTCTTGCCTAATTATTAATTTTTACCTATTTTTGCTTGATTTTCATTTTTTTCTTATTTTTGCTTAATTGTTGATTTACGTTAGTTTTGCCTATTTTGCCAAGCTTGCCTATTTTTGCCTATCCGTCAATTTTTTCCACTTGCTAATTTTATCTATTTTGCCTAAACTCGCTTATTTTTATTTTTATTTTATTCTTTTTTTATTTTATTGTATCGACTCGTCTATTTTTTTTGTTCGCCTACTTGCTTGCTTTGAGCTTCGTTGTCACGTGCGTTATTTATTCTTGCATTTATCATCTTTTTTAGCCATCCGTTACAAGGTGAGGGCAAGGCCTCCGGCCTACCAAGTCCCGAATCATTCGACTAAAGGGTAAATATTTGAAAAATAGACATAGTCTTTCATCATTAAAAAATCAAAAATCAAATCAATGTGGTATGCAATGTAGCTTGTCTAATGCAAGACGAGGTAAGGTAATTTTTAATCTTCCTTATACATAATAAACCCCTTATCTAGAACTGCGAACGGACCGATCATAGAGTTTCCTAGTAACTACGATACTAGGTGGCGACTCTAGTTATTTTTGCCTCAACAAGTCGCCCCGCAATAGAATGACGACTCTAGTAATTTTTGCCCATTTTTTCATATTTTTGCCTCAACGAGTTGCCCTCGTCACCAATGTTGTCCTAGGACATTTTTAATAATATTTTCACAAGAATATGATAATTTTGTTTTTTAAATCAAAATTATTAAATTCAAATTAGAAGAACATGATTTAGTACATGATAAAAATATAACAACTTAACTTACTATTGTTTATTTATCTCACTTAATTCAAATTATTGAATTTAAAATAAATTATTGTTTTATTTTTCTCACATTCTTAAAAGAAGATAAAGGTTCAAAATCTAATAACAATTGCTATTTTCGAATGATAAGTCGGTGGCTACTTAAAGAAATTTTCAATGGTACTAAAAAATTGGTTAGATCAAACCACTACTCACTAATTTTTTTTAAGATTTTCAATTAAGTATTTTTGTCAATTTTTTTATTAACCGATGGCATATCCGTTATTCTCAAAATACTAAACTATAATTTTGTTGTTTTTTCTCAATAGAATATATGAATATTTTTTTTCTATATGAGTATAGCAACTTTTTAAAAACTACCAATAAAATATTTACGTTGATTTTTTCATTAACTAATGACGTGTTCGAATATTTTTTTCCTCTTTCATTACAAGAAACTTTTTTCTTAAATTATTATACCATTTTAAAATTGGATAAAGAATTAAAAATAATTTTTTAGATATAAAATCTTAAACTAAACTCATTTAGACTTACTCGTTTAAAAAAAGTCTTACTTTGGGCATGAAAGTTAAAGAAAACACAAACATGAGATTTTTTATAAAAAGATTCATTTGCGTTTTCTTTCAATTTTTACTCCTAAACTTAACTAGATCTAACTTAGTTTTGTTTTTCCAAATAGCAATCTAACTTAGTTTTGTTTGTGACTTTATAGCAAAATAATAACATTTTCTAATTCTTTGTCAATTTTGATATTATAAAATAACTTGAGAAGAAAGTTCTATTCAATAAAAAAAATTATAATTTTATATTTAAATACGTCATTAATTAATAAAAAAATTGATAAAAATAATTCATTGACAATTTTAAAAAAATTAATGTATTCAAATAACAAAAATAAAATTCAAGTATTCGATTTAGAAATAAAATAAAATTATAATTTGATATTCGAAGGTTATCGGATACGTCACTAGTTTACAAAAAAATTAACAAAAGTATTTAATTGATAATTTAAAAAACATTATTGTACTTAAAAAAAATTAAAGTTCAGGAAAAAATAAAAAATTAGTATGCTCATAATATAATTATTACTATATATTTGAAAGACGTGGGGTTATGGTCGTTTAAGACCCTGTTCACCTATATATATATATATATATATATATATATATATATATAAAATTGAAGTACAACAAAGCATTTTTTGTCCAACGGTTAGGTTAATTGCTTGCTAAACCATAAAGTCGGGTTCGATTCCCGGTAGATACATGTTTTTTTCTTTTTCCCCATTTGCTTTTTTTTTCATCAATTTAGGTTCTTTTTCTTTAATTTTTAAAAAATTTCAGATTTGTTTTATTTTGATCTCTAAAATTTTAAAATAAAAATTTTAATCCCCTAACTAATACTCTACACGGTTTTTTTTTTCTTTCCGTTTTTTCATCACTTAATATTCTTTTTCTATTTAATTAGGTATTAAAATTTTAAAAAAGTAATTTTGCTTTTTTATTCTTCAATTTACGTTCTTTTTTTTTTTAATTAGGTGTTAAAATTTTGAAAAATCAGTCATTCTTTTCTTACAAAATTGACTATTATATATATATATATATATATATATATATATATATATATATATACATATATATATGTTTCTTTGCTTTTTTTCATCAATTTATATTATTTTTTTATTTAATTAGGTGTTAAAATTTTAAAAAATCAACTGCTATTTTCTTTTTTACACAAACTAACTATTATATAATATATACGATATATTTTTGTATTTATATGATATATTCTCTCTCTCTTTTTTAGTTTCACTATACATGCCTTTTTTTGCCGTTTGCTTTTTTTCATCAATTTAGGTTCTTTTTTATTTAATTTTCTTTAAAATTTCAGATTATTTCATTTTGATCTCTAAAATTTAAAATAAAAATTTTAATCCCTTAACCGATGCACTACACATGGTTTTTTTTTCCTTTTCTTTTTTCCATCAATTTATGATCTTTTTTTTATTTAATTAGGTGTTAAAATTTTAAAACATCAATCGTTATTCTTTTTTTTTTTTTTTTACACAAAGTGAGTATTATATAATATATATGATATTTTTTATATTTATGTGATATGTTTTAAGATTTTAGAATAAATAAACTACTATTATTGTTTAAAATTGATTTTTTTTTATAAAAATTCTCATCGAGTTAATTTTGATTCTTATTTTTTATATAATTTTATTTATTAACAAATATGACTTATTTTCTCTATGTACGACTTTGAATGAGTTTTTTTTTATATTTTTTTAATTCTTATATAATCAAATTTTAAAAATTGAATATATATATTATTTTCTTATTTTTTATATAATCAAATTTTATCGAAATCAGTTTTATAGTTTTTACTTGCGCTCTATTAACTTCAACATATATTTTACTATTTAATTTTTTAAAAAATATTTTTCAATTTATTTTATATATTCTCACCTATTGAGTATGGTCATGATATATACAAAATAATAATATTAGAGTCATTGGTTTTATTAGAAATCAACTATACATCTACACACACAATACCAACCATTTTGCAATTATTTTTTTAATATTTAAAATGATTTTTTTCAAATAAAATAATTGAAATAATATTTTAGAATAATTGATGAATAATTCAAATACAATTTTGTATACTAATATTGTTCATTATTTTGTAAATAAATACATATAAATCAAATGTATATATTTTTTAAAAAAACAATCTTCTCATTAGTAAAAAATTTTCATATGTTAATTTTCATATAATTTTTTATATTAATTTTTGCTTTATTTCTTTGATGCAATGTAATGAAAAAAATATTGAGATTTTTTTTTAAAAAAAATTATGTTAAAATTTGTTTATTATGGGTTTCCATATATATACTATTTTTTTATATTTTAAAATTAACATATACTTCAGTTTATATTACTCTTATAATTTAAATTTCATTCTTTGAATTTATCATTTCTTATGAAAATTCTCATCCAATTAATATTTTTTATATAAGATTTTATTTACTGATAAATATAATTTATTTTTCTCTATATTTAAATTTTAGAATAAAATTTTAAAACATGATTATTTTTTCTTTTTTTAAAAATAAATTGGTATAATGTATATCATGAATTCTTACAATTTTTAAATGATAGTTACATATATATAAATATAT